GAAACAGCACCACTCAGCCACTGGAAAACAGCCCCCGGGAAGTTTTCAGGAAAGAGCCCTGAGGGTGCAACAGCAGTCCAAAAGCCACGCCCTTCATCTGACAGTTTCTTTAGAATCGTATTGACTGATACTTAATACGCAGCTGTTGGTAGGATTCATCTTCTAGCTTTCCAGTAAAAATGAAAATGATTGGAAATCATCATTATTCAAACTGATAGCAGACAGCCAGATTTTAAAAGAGATGACAGGAGAAGTGAAAACTCTCCATTGCCACTGTATTACCTTGGAGGATTCATAACGTCTCCTGCTTTAGAGGGGACAGGATGAATAGCACATTTTAGTAAGACAGTCATCAAAAAACATCAAAATTCATGATGTTTTATGACGATAAAGAAAAATATTTGGCCTCTGGAAAAGTAACTTATGTGGAAGGAGTTATTCCCTAAGGAAACTGATAAATATAGCTTTACAGTCTGTCTGGCCTCGAGGCTGTCATGCTAAGTCTCCACAATGTCCGTAGCTTCTGAAGTACCATGTTGAGTAAATCCATGAATGTCTCTCCATCCTGTAATGAGCATTGTTACCAGGCGTGGCGGGAAGCCCGAATACACAGAAAGTGACATTGTTTTCACATTGCCTTTTCAAATATGGCACTGTTACGGTTTGTGTGTGGATGTCCACCCAAAAGACTTATGCAGTCAGGGGCACTTCTAGAGTGTATGATTAACTCTTGGGTGTGACTGCTACACCTGCCCTAGGGTGGGTAGTTTGCATATAATGTAAGGGAGGGAAAGAGGCTACTTGCCCCTGCTCCTCCCCTTGTGCTCTTGTTGCTTTTGCTGCCTTCCTCCACCTTGAACAGTTGTCCTCTGCCACGTGCCACCCGGCCTTAGAGCCAGATGAGCATGGACTGAAACCTCCACAAACTATGAGCAAAATAAACCTTTCCTTCCTTAATTTTGGGCATCAGGTATTTTGTCTCAGCAACAAGAGAAAAGTAAGACGGGCACACATACATTGGCTACCCTACATTCATTTGTTCAGCATTTTATAATTTGCAGTAGGTACTTTTATCCACCAACCTACTTGATCTTAAAACATCCCTGTGTAATAGAAATCCTTTCAGTCACCTGGTAGAGCCCTATTTGTCTTTTTTCGTGGCTGTATTATATTGTATGTGGTAAATATACCATGTTTTATTCAACTGCTTTTCTGTAAGTAGACATCTATTTTGCTTCTACTTTTTTCTTCTAAGGACTGTTTTGAAACAGATATACTTTACATGTATCCTCGAAGCTGGTGATTATATTTCTAAGCAGCAGGATTACCTCAGTAACAATAACCAATGGTGGGATTATTGGGGTGAGAGTATATGGAGGGAGTTTTGTTTTGTTTTGCAGTGCTGATGGTAAAACCCAAACCCTCACACATTCTAGGCAAGTGCTCTTGTCACTGAAATACACCTCTAGGCATGATTATATATTTTTTTTAATTGTAGGAATTTCCTAGTTTGCTTTTCAAAAAAATTTAGCAGTTTACATTTTTATTAACAAAGGATAAGAACCACTTATAATTATTTTAAATATCTGCCAGTGTGATGGGAATAAAATGGTACTAATTTTCTCTTTCCTGACTACTTGTAAATATGAACATCTTTCTATGTGATTTTTTTGAGGGAGTATTCAGGATCCCATCCCAGGGCCTCATGTGTGCTAAGCATGTGCTGTACTACTGAGCTACACCCCTAGTCCCTAAAGTGGTTAATTTCTATATGACTTTAACCCCAATTTTAAAAATTTACCTCCTAGCTGGGCGTGGTGGCACACACCTGTAATCCCAGCATTCGGGAGGCTGAGGCAGAGGATCGTTGAGAGTTCGAGGCCAGCCTGGGCTACAAAGTGAGCGCAAGGCCAGCCTGAACTGCATAGCAAGACCTTGTCTCAAAAAAAAAAAAAAAAAAAAAAAAACCTCCTGAAAACAAGGGGAGGTGACCATATACAACCAAAATACCATTTTCACACCTAAACAAAAATAACTGTTTGTTTTAGTACTGGGGATGGAACGCAGGGCCTTTACCCTGTTTTCCTTCTACCAACAGAGAGACTCCAGGGATACAGAGAGCTGTATCCCTGCCCCTTTTTTATTTCTTATTTTGAGACAGAGTTGCCTAGCCTATCCTCAGACTTGTGATCCTCCTTCCTCAGCCTTCCGGAGCGCTGTGATTACAGGTGTGCACCACCATACCTGGCTTGGATTTTTGTTTTGTTTTAGTATTACAGGACTAGCTGGGCATGGTGGCGCACGCCTGTAATCCTACCACTCGGGAGGCTGAGGCAGGAGGATCGTTGCGAGTTCAAGACCAACCTGGGCTACAAAGTGAGCTCAAGGTCAGCCTGAACTACATAGGGAGACCCTGTGTCAAAAAGAAAAAAAAAAAAAAAAAAAAAAAAAAATTACTGGACTGTTTCTTTTGTGCTGAACTTAAATCCCTTCAAGTGCTTTTGTATTTCCATGTTTTATAAATGGCTGTTGCCTGATTCCTGTTGAAGTTTTCTTTTGCTGGGTGTGAGTTCTGTTTGTTCAGGCCAGCCTTCCCGCTGAGCACTGGGTCCCCTTTTCTAGGCTTTTGGGACTTGGTTCTGTTGCCAGAACCCCCGGGATATAGGAGTCTCTCTGTTGGTAGAAGGAAAACAGTTTCCAGCTCATGGTCTGGAGGTGGAAAAACACCACCTGTTCCCTGCTTCTCCCAGCAACACCACCCACTTCCAACAGAACGGGTTCGTCCCCCGCAGTTTCAGACACGGGGAGAGCAGGCGGATGAGATGCATTCTCACAGCCTAGAGCGCTGTTTCTTTGGAGTTTGCCGAGATCTGCAGCTCATGTTCTCCCCTGGGGATAGCACCGTCCTGTCTTCCTACAAGGATCTTGAAGGTCTAGAATCCAGAATATATAGAAAAACTCTCACAATTTAACAACAAAAAAGCAACCTAATTTAAAAAATCAGCAAATGATTTGAATAGACATTTCTCCAAATAAGATAGGTAAATAGCCAACAGGCATTTGCTAGATACTAAATGTCATTTGTTATTAGGGAAAGGCAAATCTAAGCTACAGTGAAGTATTGCTTCCCTCTCCTGGGACAGTTATAATCACTAAGATGGGAAAAAGTACTGGTAAGTATGTGGAACTTGTCTCTCTCGTACTTTGCAGGTGGAAATGCAGAATGGTACTGCTCCTGTGGCAAACAATTCGGTAGTTCCTCAAAAAGTTAAACACTGAATATACCCTGTTAAATCTATTCCTTAGCAGCAACCCCAAATCGTCAATAACAGTTACTCAACTACACACACATGCACGTTCACAGCAGCACCGTGTACAACAGCCAAATGGTGGAAACACCCTAAATGTTCATCAACAAATGAATGAATAGAAAAAAGAGTGTGTGTGGACAGTGGAATACTAGTTTGGGTGAGCAGAGGAGACAGAAAAGGTCTCATGTGATGTCATTTATAGGAAATATGCAGAATAGGTCAACACAGAGAGAAAGAAGATAGATTGGTCATTGCCAGGGGCTAGGAAGTAGAGGTGAGGGCAGTAACTACCTCGGGCACGCAGGATTTCTCTCTGACTTGATGGAAATGTTTGGAAACGAGAGAGGTATTGGTGACAGACACTGGGAATGCTGAGATGCAACTGAATTGTTCACATTTACATTGTTCACCTTATATGAGTAAAGCAAGGAAAATCTGGACCCCACGAGGTGCACAGAACTTTGGAGTGGGCTGAAAAAAAGTATAAGGAGAGTATTTAAGGTTAAAAGAAAGTGCAAGGGGCAGGCATGGTGGCACAGGAGGCTGAGGCAGGATTACGCTAGCCTTGGCTGCACAGTGGGTTCAAAGCCAGCTTGAACTACACAGCGAGACCCTGTCTCAAAATAAGTAAATAAATGAAAGAAAGAAAGAAAGGAAAGAGAGAAAGAAAGAAAGAAAGAAAGAAGAAAGAAAGGATGAACAAATAGAGGCCAGTTAGAGTTTGAGCTGGGGAGTCCCTGGCAGGGAGGGTGAGGGAACACGCTGTTGTACAAAGGCTCCCCAGCTCAAATTCTTAAGTGGTCTCTTGCCTGTAATACTAGTACTCTGGGAGCCCGAGGCAGGAGGATCACAAGCTGGAGCTCAGCTGGGCAATGTAGAGAAACCTTACCTCCAAATTTAAAAAACTAAAAATGTGTTGCGGGTGGAGCTCAGTGCAAAGGCAGTGCTGAGTTCAGTCCCCAGTACTGAAAATAAAAGGGGAAAAACAGCCACTCCTTGCAGCCTCCGCGGGGTTGCCCCGCGCATGGCTCCGGAGGTGGGTGTGGGCGGGGCTTGTGCGCAGGGCTAACAGCGTTAGGAACGAAGGCGAACAGCGCTGAGGTTGACGAGTTTCCTTCTCTGAGGCGCGACGCAGGCGCTGTGGGAGCCGGCGGAGGGCACACCGGGCAGCGGCTCCCCAGTCCAGGGGTCTTGGAGGCCGGCTCTGTCCTCTCACCGCCTCGTCCTGCTCCGGGGCCGCAGCCTTTGCCTCCGCCCAGCCTTCCCACCCTGCCAGCCGCCCCGCAGTGTGACTCTTGCCCCAGCCAGAGCCTTCTCCAAGCAAGGGCGGCGGCGTCTTCCCGCTCGGGCCTGGCGCTGCTGCCTCTGCACCGGCGTCTCCGTGTGCCCCGCCTTGGCAGGCTGCCCAGCCTCGGGGCGCAGCCCCCGCGGCGCCTCGCCAGCACCTTGTGGTGTGGATGGTTGTGCCCATTTCCACATCTAGGGAGGCGTCTGCAAACGTCACTCCCACTTCAGCGACAGAGCCAGCAGGCACCGAGGGAAGCTCGTAAATCGAGGTGCGGGGTCCACATCGGCCTCTGCCCCTCGGTGCGGCGGCCGGGGCCCTGCGAGCTCCGCTTCAAACCCCCGAGGCGGCGGCCCGGCCCGGCCCGGCCCGTCCTAACGTGTCCGTCTTTCTCCTGGGTCCAGGTGGAAGTGAAGCCATATGTGCTGGATGATCAGATGTGTGACGAGTGCCAGGGCACGCGCTGCGGAGGGAAGTTCGCCCCGTTCTTCTGTGCCAACGTGACCTGCCTGCAGTATTACTGCGAGTACTGCTGGGCCAGCATCCACTCGCGCGCCGGCCGCGAGTTCCACAAACCGCTGGTGAAGGAGGGAGGCGACCGCCCGCGCCACGTCCCGTTCCGCTGGAGCTGAGCCCGGGCCGCCCGGCCGCAGTACTGGAGTAGATACCGAGGAGGGAGAGAGAGGGCACTGCCTCAGGGCTTACAGTGTTCTGGAAATCTGTGCATTCGTTCTCGATTTTTAAAGAAGAAAATGGGTCTTTTTATTATTACTATTATTTACAGTCATATAACTGAACTCAGTGTCCAGTATAATGCAAAATTGCAGAGTGTATAACGGTACTGATTTGCACTTTGATTCACACGTTTGTCTGCTTGGTACCTTAATTTCTTACACCTGATTTGTCACTTGTGACAGTACATAGACTGCCGTTCTCATCGGCGGCCCTCGGGCCGGTGTCCGTGATTCTTTCGTTTGTTGTGTTGCTGTCGTCTGACTGTGTTTAGACTGGAGCATGCACTTATTTTCAGAGACTTAGAGCGCTGCCCCTAGGACGAGGCTTACCAAAGGTAATACGCGCGAGTAGGTGGCAGATGTAGCAAAAACTTCACAGTTCAACAGTTGTTAGCTGGGGTCTTTTAGAATAAGGATAACCCTTAATGAAAATAAGCCTTTAGTTGCTCTGTATTTTGACTTTTAAGGATACCTCATAAGCTGGATCTTTATTTTTTTCCTTCATGTTTGATTTTTGTTTTGCTGGAGATTTTGGTTGGATCTTTTAGTGTTGTGTAAATTTATGCTGCAATAGCTTTTGCTGCTATTAAAATGGTATATGAATACCATAATACTCTATTCAGGCTAAGTATCAATGAGAAACAGAAACAAAACCCAACAACACACTTTTGTGATTTAGGGAGAGAGTCAGCTGCCGAAAGGAGATGGAACAGACTTCAGAAAGCTTCAAAGGAAGGTTGCTATTTCTGACTGCATGTTTACTTAATCAGGTTGCTGCATGCAATAAATTTTATATCCAATGTCTAGTATAAAACCTTCCCACAATGCACAAATTAAGAATCTATATAAGCTATAAAATACTCATTTTTTTAAAAGAAAGCTTTTTTTTCATTAAAGAATTGGTAATCGAATGGAGGAAGGCATGCCTCGATGAATGGAATGCTTCTGAACAGGAAGAGCCCATAAAAGAAGGACCTATATTACAACCAATAGAAAACCTAGGTGTAGGATATTCTTAAAGCAAACTTGTGGATGGTAGATGAAGTACTTTGCGGTGCTCTGTTATATATTGTGCAATTTATTTTATATAGTAAAGTGATTATGTCTAACTGTGATCAAACTTAACTGTTTTAAGCCTCTGTGTCAGACATTAATGAACTTGACAGTTCATAGCTGGTATATTATTAAGTAACACATGAGCTCTTAGTTACAATCTCCTAGTGCTTGCACCATTTTACATAGTTTCAGACCTTGTCCAGAAAACCAAAGAGCTCATCTTAGCTTACAAACACTAAGAAATATATACAGTATCTAGAGATAAGTTGTCAGATTGACAAAGTAGGCACATCTTTTTAAAAGTTGTGTAGTGGTGATGCTAAAGAAATGTCTGTACAAAATAAGAAGGCCTGGGCAAAGTTGGTTGTCTAGGTGAGAAATTAACTATTTAATTCCCTGGATTTATCCTGTAAAGCTTGAATAAAATTAAGCCCTGCTAGTACTACCGTGGACATTTTTTTAGCATTCACTCTTGGGCTGCAGATAGTAATATATAAACACACACAATGATTGCGAGACTATGTAAATCTTTTTAAAAATCTTTTTCCTATGTTTTGGAATTCTGGGGACAATCTGACTGGATATGACACTGCAGAATAGATTTTAAGTCGCTGTGTGTTTTATGTGCTGTGATGTCCTTGTACTGTCTTAAGTTAGCATTGCTTGTTTTGGGGGTGTTTTTTTTTCTCCATTGTTTAGTTGCAGTTACTGGCTCTCAAGTTATAGTTTGTTTTCGAAAAGGAAAAACAAAATAGTTTTTTACTAAATTAAAAATGCTTGTTAGAATCCTCCCCTTTTGAGGTTACCTCTGGGCTTGTTGGTAATAATTGTTTTTTTCCGGCCCATGTGTGGTTTTGCTTTTATATATATATACATATATGTTTGTGGTTTTGTTTTTATTTTGTTTTTTTTTTCATCTGTACAAGAAATTTTGTTATGCACTACTACGTTTTATATTCTAGACGGTTTTCAAAAGTTGGCTGAAGATTTTTTTGTTTGTTTGTTTTTAAGGAAAAAGGCATGCTTTCTGACTGACATGATCTTTTGCAATACCTCAATTTTGAAATATAGGAAAGAAAATGATATTTTCTAAGTAAGTTTATTCAGAAAAATATATATTAATTTAATTCTGCAAGAAAATGATTTAACAGATGGGTAACTTTATTTTTTTCATGCTTATTTGTGTTTTTTGAAAATGAAGAAGTTAGAGCTTTATAACTATAATATAAAAGATCATATCTAACCTACAGAAATCTACCTAATTATGTGAAAGAAGCAAAACTTTTTGAAGAAGCACCCCTCTTTCATGTACTAAAATAACACTGAGATTTTTAAAAAGCTGAAAGATTGCACAACATAAAGCTGAAGTGAAGGCAAAAAAAAAAAAATGTCATGAAAAATAGGTTACAAAAAATAAACTCCATTTGGTGCTGAAAGTTGTGACTAGAAGGTGGAAACTCCTTTCCCTTAATTTGTATATTTATAATCAAGCATTGATTGTGCACGACTGACCAGGATTGTGAAAGAGTTCTTCTGTTTGTATTTTTTTAAAGAGAACTTTTTTAGTTTATTAAATTATAACATGTTCCCTTTTGTTTTGTAAATAAATGTGTCCCCAAGTTCTTAATGTTATATTAAAAGAGAGGGTCCTTCAAAAAAATTATTTTTTAAAACGTAGAGGTGTTCTGACCTGCAACTTGACTGGGAAGCCCCTGGGTAACACAGGTCCTGTTGTGGCCTTTCCTTGATGTGACACTTGAACTAGTCGATTTTTTGAAGGCTATAACCTAACCTCGACTATTTGTTGTTATGTGCAATACTGTTTGTACTGTTTGTATAAAAAATAGAAAAAAAAAGAAAAGAAAAAAGGCATAAATCTTTATTGCAGATTTATTTTCATTGCAAACTTTAGACATTGTGATTCACTGAAATCATTTTTCTACTGTCAGATATGTACCTTTTCTTCATGCTGGTATTTTTTCAATAGTAATGTAGCCTTTGTACTGAGACAAATTTTCATTGTTATTTTTAGAAAGATTTTTTGCTAAGAAAAAAATTAAACATATTTACATATTTTTCATTTTATTTCGTATTTTCTTTAAGGAGTGCTTTCTCAATCATTACTAGAGTTGTTTCTGGGAGGGACTTTCATATCTGGTCAATGTCATAATATTATTTTGTATTTTTACTTGGAATAAATTAATTTTATGATGCTAATTCTTTAAAAGTTTATTTTTTTCATTTTCAGTTATTTTTGAAGCTAAAACCTTTGTAATATTGTTACTAAAGTGTCTAGTTTTTTGAAATGCAAAGCTTTATGTATTATCTTGCTGATGTGGTTTACAATAGCGTGACAACGATGAAAATGGTTGGTTATGTAAAGTGATTGGAAATGTAATGGATAATTGGGTAATAAACTGACAGAATGAGCAGAACATGTGAAATTTTGACAAGCCTTTTCCTTTATTACAGTGGTGTAGTGTAAGACTAGGGATGTCACAGTACAGGTCTCTAGGGATGTCACAGTGGATTTATACAACACCAGACGCAGCCAGATCTGTGGCCCTGATGAAGAAGTCACCCTACTGAAATACCACTGGGTTTCAAACCTAGCTAGGTCAACAGAACGTTTCATTGCTTTTCCCCCTCTAACTCTTCATTTTGTTGTGTGTGTGTGTGTGTGTGTGTGTGTGTGTGTGTGTGTATCTGCCACCAACTGCTGTCCATGTGTGAGATGGTGCCTTTCTCTCCCAAATCTTTTACGTGAATCTACAGTGGTGACATCTGTGAGTCCAAGGAAGTGGCTGAGAGGACACCAGCTTCTGGGTAACAGAAACGGACTACAGTGTCATACCTTGGTCCTTCCTGGAAGGGTTGGTGGCACGGGGGAAGCACACCTGGATGTCACCACTGTACGTGGACACTGTGTGTGTGTCAGGCTGCGTCTTCCTCCACACCTCCGCCTGCTCTCTGTTCCGGTCCCCCCACCCCCGGGTTGCCTTTTACTGTGGCAACACATGGGGCCCCTCCCCGCATGGTCTGTCTGCCCTCCTGCCGCTTTCCTAGTCCCCACCTCACCTGGAAGCCGTGCTGTTCAGGCGGCGTGATGTCGCAGTGGCACCTAAAACTAATGCAAAAAAGATCATACAACTGCAAAACTGGTGTTGCGTAAACAGAACATCCAATGACTTGCTCTAGATAGATGGTGCGTTTCTCCTAGTCACTGGTGGCCTCTTCTAGCTCTGTAGCCACAGAGGTGAGGTTAGTCAATAACCTGGAGAAACTTGAGTCCAGAGATGGCTCCTGGGTATGCTCTATGTATTCAGTTTTGTAAATAATATATAGATTAGATCAAGTTGTGATGTAAAATTTTAACTCAAATTGGGTACTACTGGTTAGAATTTTACATTAACTACAAATAAATGATTAGGAACAGAAGAAAGAAATTGGAGAAATTCTTGTTTAGTGGTATAAAGATTATGCTTAGATTTCTGTCTATATCTTGTGTTCTATAGCTTGTTAGTGAGGCATGAGCTAATGCAGAATGTACTGCATTTATGCAATTAGCAAATAACTGCTAGTTTTCATTTTATCTATTATATTAGCAACAAATGGCATTTAACTGGGTAAAGCTCCTACCTAAATATTTGAGTATTGTGACATCTCTACTTGCAAGGTTTGAATGAAAGATTAGTCACAGATTAGTGAAAAAAAGTATCTTTTGTTAAAACTGGCTGATTTGTACGGAGTATTGTTTTTCGCTAGTTTGTATGGTATGTCAGCTAACGCTTCTTTCTGTTCTTTTTCTTTTATAATAACCAGACTTCTCTATCTCAGCTGCACTACTGTTCCATCTTACCACAGAGTATTTTATAATTAATGCTGTTGACTTTATACCCCAAAATGGGTCAAGAAATGGCTCTGCGATTCAGGATTGTTTAAATTTGTATGATGAAGAAGTTAATTGCAACAAGTAGAAAACTTGGGTGCTAACACAGGACAACTCTCTTTCTCTCCTGGATATAGTTCCGTTGGGGTATAAAGTATTAGGTATTTGTATTTTTGCTGTCAAAATAATGGGCATACCTTTTAGAGTGTTCACAGCTAAGATCTCTGTATTTGTTTTTCAACTAACAACTAATTTTAAATGTATTGTATCTTTTATTACCTGTGTTCTTAGATTGTTTTTTTGCTGGTAACCCTTACTCAGCTTCCGCCTTTGGGGCTTGGACTAATACTGCTTGTATGGAACTACAGTACTGTGACTAAATATGGAGCTCAATGCAGCTATTGCTTACAACTGCTTAAACTTTGTAGTTTGGACTTTTTTTTCTGTAATAACTTATTAAATCTAGTTGTATGAAGTACTGACACTTGTCATCCTTTGCATTTGCTAAGGAAAACGCTTGGTGTACTTGGTTCGCATCTGGGGAACATTCAGTTCACTTGAGTAGCTTTTGGTGACAGTCCCTTTAGGCCCGTGGAGCGCAGCACAGTTCTCTCTGACACAGCATTTAAGAACTGTTGACTCGTGTGAACGTGTATCCAGTGCGCGTGTTCAGAGCGCGGTGGACGTGGCCGTGTTCTGCCTTGCTTTGTGTTTTCCCCATGTCGGGCCTTGGGCCCCCCGCCCCGGCATAGCTACGTTAGTGCTCTACCTCAGAGCTGCCTCCTCAGCCTGGTGCAGTTGGGTGTTTCATTGCCAGCATTTTGCCACACGAAACCAGTGTTCAAAATTACATAAAACATAAAAATGAAAAAGTAAGTATTGCTACCTTGCTTTTTTTTTTTTTTTAACAGTTAAACTAGGTCTCTTCTTTTTCTTTTACAATCCCGTGTTGATTGCGGACACGACAGACGCTCTGTTCTAGGTACTAATCCTTTAAGAAAATGAATCACAAACGAATCTCTTGCAGAGCTCCAAGGAAAGCGGGGGAGGGAGCGCGGGGGGGCCTCATCCCACAGCCCACAGACGGATTCACTCGGGGTGGGGCCCGGGCCCGGATTTTTAAATCTCCGGCCACGACCCCCGCTGCTGGACCCCGGGGGCCGGCGACCGCTCGGGAAGTGGGGGGCGCCCCCCGTCCCCGCGCCTCCCGCCCGCCTCCCGCAGCCCCGCAGGTAAGCGCGCCCCTCCGCACCCACCTGGCCAGAAGCGCAGCCCGCGGAGCCCAGCACCCCTTAGAGGTTGCTTCAATCAGCCCGGGCTGCTCCCGCGGGGGCCGCGCCCGGAAGGTGAATCCAGGGCCGAGCTCAGGCGCGGCTGCGGGATACTGGGATACTCGCCATTTGGAGCTCTGCACCGTGTGTGCTTTGTCCCCGCTCTGACCCAGCAGGGAGGGACATCTGAGTCCCGGCCCGATGTGTGTATAGAGTAAACATAGATCTACACATGGAATCCCGTCTTCAGGGGGGTGGTCTGATTTGGATCCCGCACCAGGCACCTGATGAAAAGGTCCTGAGGTCCTAAGTGCTGGAGCGAGGGGGAAGTCGGTACGCGAAGGTGCGTCGGGTGAGCAGCTTCCCCCTGCGGCTGAAAATCAGTCCGCGGTCTCGGCGCTCCCTGTGCGAGGTTTGAACTCGCAGTCGTCGCTAGATGTAAACACCCGGCGGCGGACAGGCCCTGACTGTGAGATGAGGGCTGGGCTGCAGGGACAGCGGCCTCACAGAAAACCCTCAGCGACCACCAAGACACAGCTGTGAAACGTGCGTCCGGTGGTAGCCGCCAGACCCTTTCCGCAGAGCACTCCCGTATTTTAACTGGGAGGGCTCAACGAAGTGGTTATTGATTAAGCACAGCCCAAGTGATGGGTCTGGTTGCTAGTGAATGATCGCTCCAGGTACTTGCGTGGCTGTCGCTGCGACTTGGAAACCAGTCTGGGCAGCTTAGCCAGACTCTGTCTCAAACATCTGAAATAGTTTCAAAAGGGTCGGGTGCAGCCAGCGTGCCCAGGGCCCCGAGGGTCAGTCCCAGGGTTTTCTGGGCAGAAAACTCTTCCCTCTGCCAACTTGGGTTTGGCGATTACAGGTCTGTGATTCAACTGAACAAGATTAACAGGAGAAAAGCCAGAGCTTCCTGTGATCGCGATAGAAATGTGGAAAGCTGGTATGTGTAGGTCAGGAGGCAGCGAGCAAAGGGCTTCTCCGGGAAGACCAGGTGGTGTCTTCAGGAGAGACGACTGGACCCTTAGAACAAATGAGACGCAGGCAAGTTTGTGTACGTCTGTCGATGCTGGCGCCAGCGACTTCTTTCTGGCCAGTAAACTCCCCAGAGAGGACACTCGTGGTGGTCTCTCAGGAGCTGCTGTTCGTAGATACAGGCCTGAAAATCCCGCCCTGTGGAGTCTCAGCTGCCTTCAGTATAAAGTCCATCACGTCTGGAGGCCCAGTGCGGCTCACCACAGATGAACAGCTGCAGTGCGGATACTTACTGGGACACGTGACAGGAGCTGCTTCTATTCTGTCCCTCCACACAGCAGTGCAAAGGTGATCAAACCAGAGTTTAGGCATTGTCTATACTGCAAGAAAGAGGACTTTGCTGTACTGTACACGCACTCATGTCAGCACTTCATTCTGGCTCCCAACGATCAACCCAAGCCAAGTCCTTTTTCCTTTTTGCTGTTTTACTGGTCAAACCTTTGGGCTTGGTCATTAAGGAAAACAATCGAGCTTGTCACCTTTGTCGCAGACCTATACCACACGACTCTGTAAATGGAAGAAAGACTCCTTTGCCGAGTCCTGATTTCTAAGGTGACGAGCTGTCTTGTATCCCTGGTCACTTTTCAAAAGACAGGGCCCTTCTCTTACCCATCATTACAGCCCAAACACTTTATAATACATAGCCACTAGAATGACTAAAATTTAAAGGACTGAAAATACCCTGCTAGGGAAGATTTAGGTAGTGTTCGTAGAACTATCTGCAGTCATTCTGGAACACTTCTACAAACGCTGAATGAATGTGTACCTCCTGTGACCCAGATTTTTCACTTACAGGCATCTGCCCAACAGGAACATGTTCACAGGACACACGAATGATCACAACTGCCTGCAACAGTAGCATGGGTACATTCTGTCTGTAAATGGACTACTAGAGAACAGTAAGAATGAAGGTGTACGAGTGCTGGGGGTGCAGCTCAGTATAGAGCACATGCTTAGTATGCAGAGGGCCCTGGGTTCAGTCCCCAGCACCAAAAAGAGAAAAACCCAGAACAGAGTACACAATGTGATTCCACTTGCAGACGAGTGAAGGAGCAACCGCGAGGGAGTGTGAAGGTGGCTGGCAGGTTCTGAGGTGCTAGTAACTCGGGTGTTGGACATACAGGGCGGTTTGTGGAAATTCACTGAGGCCCTGACCTGTACATTTCCTGTAAGTTTCAATAGAGCATTTGCAATAAGCAGCAGAGCTCGGCGAAAGGGAAAAGCTGTATTTGGACCA